TTCTGAGAAGCTCCGCTTGGGCGGAATTGACAGTGACTGCTTTTAGAGATGTAGGAACGATAAAGCAAATACACTGACGGGCAACTTACCGAGTCCTTCCTTGAAAGTGACTTCATTTAATAATTTGATTGTTCAATGCATACCAGGCACTTTTCCCATGCAAGTAAGTGTAACCTCGGGTGTTTTCTCAAGGAATACCTTCCTTGAATAAATCTTAATGCTAATGTCACCTGCAGAAATCGTCTGCTCTTGGTTTTACTGATGCCATTGAAAGAATCAACGTGTAGTGCATTGCGGGGATCAGTCCCCAGAAGAAAATTAAATAGATGACTTTTTTTCACTGGCGGTGGTGGTGTTTTTTTTTAAACTGAGGCCACAGCCTATTAGGGTCTGCGAAAATTTAGTGGTCCTTGAGCAGCTGGGCTGGAACTAGGGCAAAGTGAGTAAAGCCTCAGGTACAACATTTAAGGAGATGCCAAAACGTCACTACTGCAGATAAATATTTTAATGCAGTATTAAAAAAGTCATTGTTAGTGCAAAAATCCATGGTGAACAAAGTTGCCATTTTAAGAAGAACAGGATCTGCCCCTGCACTTGTGTGACTTACCTCACTTGCCTTACCCTAATCTCATCCCCGATGACCAGCATTAAAAAAAAAAAAACAGATTAGAAAATATTAAGAGTGCATTAGAGGTGTCTCATGTGTGTGTGTGTGTGTGTGTGTGAGAGAGAGAGAGAGAGAGAGAGAGAGAGAGAGAGAGGGAATGAGAGAATGCATCCTAACGTGAGATGTAAAATGTAACCTCTGCGCAGCAGCAGTTCAAGTCAGGGATGCTGGAGCCAGACGGCTGCATGTGTGACTTTTGAACATTTTACTGAACCTCGCCTTGCTTTCGTTTCCTCATCTATGAGATGGAGACAAGAACACTGCCTTCCTTATTGGCAGGGTGGCCACTTAATTGATCCCAACAAGGACAATTTTGATAGTGGGAAGGGGCACTAACAGCGTTATGATGTTAAGTGTTGCAAAAATTAAAAAGGCATTATCAAACAGTAAAACAGTTACACATTTACACCATGTAAAATGACAAAACCGTTCAATCATGAACATTCAGATATTCAACAGCAAGAATATTCTGCCTTGTTTTGTTTCATGTTCATGAAATTCTCCACATTTTTTCCCTGTCCCCACCAAGTGGTGGCCTAGTAGCTTCATGGATTTTGCATGCCGTGTCACGGACCAAAACTGGTACCCGAAGTGGCCAGCAGGACAGGGGAGCCCGACCATTGACAGAGACCAAGAAAAAGAATCATTTCTCCCCAGCCTCCTGTGTGTCTGAGTGCACTGTGTTTTATCAGCAAGCCCCTTTGAGCTGTTTTGGAAAGAGTGCCAGTTATGACATTGCTTCTGGAAAGAGCCAAGAAAAGAGGGCAGGGATAATGATGGTGATTTTCTAGACGATAGCACGTGCTACAGTGAGAATGCGTGCACTGCACAGGCACACCCCCGCCCCAGAAGATCACACCCATGGCAGAACCCAGGTGTTCAAAGTGGAGGATGCCACACCCACCTCAGGTTATTCTGTGCTAACTCACACAAGGCAATAGGAAAACACTGAAACCAAGACTTTTCATGGCAAGCGAGGCTGTGTGACCGCACCGCTCACAGAGTTGTGGGAATTAAATCAGTTACTGTAATGGGAAGTGCCTAGGACAGTGCATGCTATATGGTAAGCACTCAAGCAATGTTAACTCTTGTTACCCTTTTGTTTTTCTTACCATGGTTCAGACTCAGAAAACTTGAAAAGCGCTACCTTCGAGAGAAAGGTGCCATTTCCAAAGGGGCAGATAATTGGAAATGTCTCCTGCTCTTTTTTTCGAACTTGAATCGTCAATGACAATAACCACCTTGACTGCAAAGGTCGAGCCTGATTTGTTTTGCTCCCCACCTCGCCCTCAAGTCTTACCTTTGTTAATTAAACTTCATTTTGAATAGCCAGTTTGACAAGCACAGTCAAAATCAAGAACATCTCCATATAAAACACATCAGCTTGGGTTTCTCGATCTTTTCAGAAAACAAAGCAGTGACTCCAACCATATGGGTCCATGACTAAGGTCGAATAGAGGGAAAATTGACAGCAAGCCAGCCCAGGAATTGGGAAAGCCAAGGATGGGGTCAGTTATTTCTATGGATATCGAAGCCCTTCCAGGAAAGGTAACGTTAATCGGAGTGTTGGATTGATTGTGAAAAAGGTGCTGAAGTCATGAACTAATAAGGAGCGTGGCTGTAGGCGCTAGATAACAGCAGTGATAGGAGAAATCAGTGCTGAAGGCGACTGACCTGAAGCTCAGAGGCTCCCATGGGGCTGGGTTTGAGGACGGAGGAAAGTGAAATGATAGCGCCCAGGCATCGCGATGAGGAGCAAGGTGGATGCTTGAGATGGCTGCTAGTGGCAGGCACTAAAGGGAGACTCCTCAGAGATGCCGCGTATATCTAGTTACTTGCCAACTCTACTGGCATGTCTGCTAGGCCTCTAAATTCAACAGCATCAAAATACGGATTTTGAGTTCTACCCCAAATCTGCTCTGTCATAATGGTCCCCCTCTTAAATAGTAACTCCAGTGCACCCAGTTGCTTAAGCCCGATATCTGAGCCATATTCTTCTTTTCCTCACTTTCCCACATCAAATGCATCAGCTTGACCTACTGGCTTTCCCTCCAAAGGATGAACTACTAGCATGTAGTTTCATCGAGGGATTGCTCTTCGTCTGTCCTGTTCAACAATGTGTTCTCAGGCTGCGGACAGTGCTTGGCACACAGTAGGAAGCAAGTATTTGCGGAATGAATGAATGAATCTTGAATGTGACCACTCAGCTCCATTCTCATGATCAATGTCATAGTCGAAGCCAGCAGCGTCTCTCACCTGTATTTGTAAACCATTGCTTCTCACTGATCTGCTGCGGTTGACCCCACAGACTACCCATGCAACAGCCCGACACTTGCGATGTTGAAACTACCCAGTGGATTTTATCAGAATAAAATTCATTCCTTTATACTGGTCTTCTGTATGAACCTGAACTTAGCCTCATTTTCTACCCCTTTGTCTTTCTCATTTGCTACTCCCTGCTGTAGTACCGCCCGGGTTTCCCTGCACTTACTGTATCACAACAAGACTCAGCGGGATGCTTGTGAGAAACACTTCCGTAATTCACAGTGGCCTCTCTGCAGACTCTGATTCATAAAGTTTGGGGTGGAACACGAGAATGTGTACTTTTAACAAGCACTCCAGGTGATTCTTATGATAAGCTTAGGTACAGATCCAGCCTAGGAATCCTCCCCACAGCATTCCAATTATTCAGACTTGAGAAGCAAAATGAAACTCATTTTCTCTCTCTGGTGTAGAAGAACAGGCAATCAGTGGCCACCTGCTATGTTGTGCCAGGGATTTCTGGGAATACAGTTTATGTGCTGAAATGGCCTCACATTCTAGTAAAATTTCCTGGGTAGCACAATGACCTTAAACTTGTGTCACTTTATGCCCGATTCCTGGGGATGAGGTGGAAGAAATGGTTATCACCCATAGGGAGGCAGGGAGGAGGAGACCGGGCATGGCTTGCTATTCAACAGTGTGTAGCAATGGCAGTGTGTGTGGATGCGTGCGTGTGTGCGTGCGCGTCTGTGTGTTCCTTAGGCTGTGGCGGGACAAGAGAGTCCTGAGAGGCAGGGAAGAGAAAAAAGCAGGGCAACCAGCAGGATACCGGCCCAGAGGACATGCAGGGGACATTTGCACATGTAGCTGGGACACAGTGAGCTCATAAAACATATAAGCCCCTCAGTGTAAGAAATCTGAACCACAACAGGTTCTGAGTTTTACATTTCGATCTGGAAGCATTAAACTGGACAATGAAACATCTTTAGTTTTGCTCTGACAGGGTAGCTTATAACTATGGCTTTACCGGCAGGTTTAACTTACTGACTTGTGGGAGGGGGGATTTTGAAAAATATCTCTTATCTCCTGTATACAAACAGTTAACTTTAGTTCTCTAGCGATGTTATTTACCAGCACTAGCGTTCTCCGTATCAAAGGGCATGTTTGTGTCCCAGAATCTGAAAGTGAGAACAAGTGCGAGCCTTCTGGTTTCCTGTAGGAACTTGGCTTATAAACCAGAGCAGTGCTGCTTCTCAAAGGTGACCACGCACTGCAACTGCCTGGCGGGGAGGGAGCTTCAGAAATACTGACTCCTGTGCTCCGTCTCAAGACTGGGATTGAATTGGTATGGAGCGGGAGCAAGGCCTGGGACTTTTGAAAGATCCCCAGGCTAACTGAATGTGCAGGCAAGTTGTTTGGGAAGCACTGAACTGGAGATTTTGAGCCACGTGTTTCAAGCCTTAAGCCTCTGGGACAGTATAAAGTTCGGGTTTGTGCATTAATGTTTAAGTGGAGACAATAACATCCGACTGATTGGATTTATCAAGTTGCAGTCAACATGGGTGGGGGCCCTATTTACATAAAGCCAGAGCAATTGATGAAAAAGTTAATCAAGTGAGTTATGCGCACGAAGTCACACATGCACACACATACCAATTATCAATGTTCAGAACAACAGAATTTTAAAGTAATGTTGTCAGATTGAGTAACTATCTCCAATTAGAGTTGTCAGATAAAACACAGGGCTCTCAGTTACATTTGAACTTCAGATAAACAACAAATAATTTATTAATATAAGTATGTCCTGTGCAATATTTGGGACATACATATACTAAATAGTGTTATCTGGAGTTCAAGTTTAGCAGTGTGCCCTGTATTTGTATTTGCTAAGTGTAGCAACCCTGGCCCAATTGTAAAGGACTGGCCTGAGCAGCAATGCAACAGACTGGGACAGGTCAGGGCAAAAATGAAGCTTCGCTTCTTGCTCATTATGTGCTCTGTTTCCTGAATTACGTTGTCCGCCCCACCGCCTCAAGTGCAACCTGACTGTCTGCTTGAGGCTCCACTGTACCTTATTCTGCCTCTTCTGTCGTCTTCGGAGCCGCAGGAACTCCTTGTGCTGCCTGGAGACAAAGTTCACTGCCGCGTACTCCAGTAGGGCGGCGAACACAAACAGAAGGCACACTGCCATCCAGATGTCAATGGCTTTGACATAGGAGACCTACGAGAGACAGAGAGAGGCGCCGTGAAAGCTTGTGCAGAAACCCTGTTCGTAATCATAATGTTGTGTTGAGGTCCGCCCTGCCTGGTCTTAGGAATCTGCAACCGCCTGTGACTATGGCTGAGTAAGAGGCCTCCGAACCAGGAGATGCTAAGGAGACAAAAACTTATTTCCCTGGCATGAACGCTGCCTGTTCTAATGCCTGGCTCCCTTTGCATGATTGGCAGTCAATGACGGGTAACGATTCTCTAGGAAAGAGAATGAATCTAAGACAGACACGATCACGTGGGAATGCCCTAAGGGAAGAGACTCAGGGGGCTGTGGAAATGACGGGGTGATCGACATCAACCCCTGCCCCCTCAGCTTTGCCAAAGCCTGAGTCCTTGAGAATTCCAAGTCTCCCAGCTGCTTTTGTCTCCTCTGCCTGACTCAGACCTGCGGAAATAACAGGGACACTGCAGTCCAGACCAGAGTCGGCGGACCCCCGGGGTAATCTAGGCCTGAGACATAAAATATAAAAGACCCTGTGAGATCTGCTTGCTGGAGGATACTCTTTAATTAAAATATGAAGGCACAGGGAGGAAACAAAACTAAGTTTTTAAGTCCTGTAGTCTTTTGAAATGGTAAACCCCCAAAATCTCTGGCTTAGGATCCCAGCAAGAGATCTGCCAGCGCCTTTCAAAGCGAACTACTTGTAATTTGCAAACGGTATTTGTATTCAAGAATAAAAGCCTGCTTGGGTGAAAAGACGGGGTGCTCTCCACTAGAGAGAGTGGCCGTTCTGTCCCCATTTCCCCACAGGACCCGGTTGTCTCTGTGTATGTTTTTCTCATGTTTCGATGAGCATCTGCAGCAGGGATGGATACTGCTGGCCAGTATCCGCCACAATGTTGTGAGCAGCAGAAGAACGTCATTTGCAGATGCTGGGCGGAGCTGGGAAAGTTGCACGCACCACCACAGGTTCCCCCCACCCCCGCCAGTGTCCTGAGCCGGGTTCCACCTCTCTCAGTGGAGCCTCCTCCCTGAGAATGGTCCACAGATGACTGCAAGAATTCCCATAGTGCAGAAAAGAGAAATGAAAACAAAGCTTCACAGTAAAATAGAGTGGCCACCATGCTCGGAACTGCTCAGTTTCTTGTTGTTGTTTTTGCCCTTAACATTTAAAGACAGACAGAATTATGATCATTCCAAAACGTGGATGAGAAAGAAACTATGTCTGGTCTTTGGCCCTTCAAAAACCAATTTTTAATTTTCATTGGCCTGTTGACCCTGACTGGCATGGAAACACTTTTCTTAAATGGTTTGAGACTATCACAATTCAAGAACATCGAACCAAATAAAGCATCAGGGCTTGAGCCTTGGGGAAGGAAGGTACCTGGCTGGTGGAGGATTTAGCACACCTTGTAATTTAATAAAGCAGGCTTTCAAGACAAATACTTCTTACTTGCAATGGAAAGTGCTCCTCGTCTCATTTAACTTCCAATTCTTTCTTTAAATATAAGGGGGAAAATAGATGAAGTTGGAATATATTGGACCCCAGACTACAAAGGATGCTTATCAAACTGCCAGCTGAATGTGTACTAACTAGTCCTAATTTTTAAATAGGTTTTCCTATTTTGGGGGTGGCTAACACTGAGTTCTCGCCAACTGGTATTTTAAACACTTTATATCTATTAATTTTCTAACCATCACAACAGTTGTATTGTTCCCATTTTCTGACGAGGAAACTGGGTTACAGAGGGGTTAAATTATTATCCGGGGTCACAGAGTTAATAAGTGGTCGAGCTAAGATTGGAATTGGATCCTAGCCGGCTAGTGAATTTCCTTTCCGAACACACACAAACACTTTAGTAGGATTATACAGTTTGTGTCTTGCATTTCCCTTTGACCTTTATAGTGAGCATTTTCCATGTCGTTTAACATTCTTCTAAACCATAATTTCCAGTGCTTGCGTAATGGCCCATGCCATGATTAATCAGTCTGTGTTATAGGACATTTAGGTGATGTTTAGTTTTATTTTGGGGGGCTGTGAAAATTCTTCCTCCCAAATATTTGACTATATGCTTATTTATTAGATCAATTTGTAGACTGGGATTATGGGAATAAATGCTATGAAAATCGTTTCTTCACTTAGAAAGTTAGTAGCAGCACAGAGGATATAAAAGCAGAGATTCCAGAGCGAGATGCCCCAATAAGAAACACTGCTCTGTTCCTGATGGTCTCTATACCTTTGCCAATTGTTAACCTACCTGTGGCCCCTTCCTCATCTGTCTGTGGGATAATAGTACCTGTCTTATAGAATTATATGGAGAAAATCACTTAATATATGCAAAGTGCTTAGAATAGTATCTGGCACAACAGAGTAAGTGCTATAGAAATATTTACAATTTGTCTACATATGAGTGTGATTTTGTTAATGGATAAATATTGGAAGAGACAAAAATCAACAAGGAAAAAAAGAAATCACTCACACTCCTAATATATTCCAGTTACTTTTAAGGCTACCACCTTCCTTACACTGTCTCAGTCCATCTGAACTAGTTGTCGGTCCCACATAAGTTGTGACAAACTGGTCCAGCACCTTGTCATCTTCAACCCCGTCAATGATCACTCTTCTTACGTGGGATGCTCTTCTCATTCTTTCTGATTAACAGGCTCCTCAGAATCCTTCAGGACGTGGCTCACAAACCAGCACCCCTGAGAAGTCTCCCCAAACTCTGTACTTTCTCCCATCTGGGTTAGAGGCCCCCTTGCTTTCCTCCCTTATCACTTTCTATTGAAACTATCTGCTGTTCCTTTTTAGACTACAGGCTTCCCTGATCCCAGCGCTAGACCTGTAAGTTTTTTTTTCTGGGCAGGCCCTGGGAAGTATTACTCTTTGCATCACCAGAGCAGGACCTGGCAAATAGCTAGTAAGCATTAGATCGGAGGGATGGATGGATACATGAATGGTTGAGTGATGGAAGGATGGAAGGAACAAAAAAACTATCTGGCCACCTTTCCATTTTCGTGCTTTAATTTCAACAACTCTACACTATATCACATTATCCACAATTTCATACATTTGATATTTTTAACTGTGGACTATTAGCGCAGTTCCATTCTCTCGGCATACCTAGCATTCCTGGAATGTTTCTTTCCTTAATAAGCAATCATCTGTCTTGTATTTGCTCTTCTGGAGCAATCCTATTCTCTTGTAATAATAGAGCATTTCCAATCACAGTGTTCCCAGTTATATATTATTCAGATAGCCCATAAATGTTTTAAGACCCAATAATGAAAGGAATTTGTCAATGCTTGAGATAGGTCCACACTGAAAGCTGAGTCCAATAGAGCTGACCATCATTCCTCCCCTTCCTGGTGTCTACCACATTCAGTCATTCGTAAACCGTTTCCCCATCTCTTCCTGGCCATCAGCAGGCCAAGCACGTATTGGGCTTCTTTTATAGCTGCTCATAAATGAATCCTTTCAGTCTCTTAATCATTTTGGTTGGTTTCTGACTCTTTCCAGCATTGAAGTGCTGGTATTAAATGCATTATTCACATGGATTTAGAGGGTGTTGTGAGACATCTATTACATACGGTGTGATGTCCCTTGGTGCTAGTCTCTCAGGATTGAAATGCCTTTTTGTGGCTTTTACCCAGCTCTGATGTCAGCTTCTCTCTGTGTGGCAGCTAATCCTTAGATGTTTTCAGCTCACATCTTCCCCTGTCACATTCTTTTTTATGATTCTTGGGCTTATAGGATGCCTTTCTGAATTACTTTACTATAGTCTTGCAAAATAGTTTTCAAAGGTAATTAAGCTCTCCAAATGCTATTATGATTCACTGAGTCCCAGGCATATCTCACTTAGAAAAATAAACATTGCTAGCCTACTATGTGGAAGGCACTGTACTAAGTGCTGGGAGATGGAAGAGAAGACATAAGGATAACTGAGATGCACATTAGTTCTTCCTAGGGCTTCCCAGACCACCCTCCAGGAAGCCCCATTCACTCTGTGGTCCAGCAAGTGTCATTCACATAGGTCAGGGAGCAGCACGTCAGGGCCTGTGGATCAAATCTGGGCCACCATATGTTTTATAAATAAAGTTTTATTGGAACACAGCCATACTCATTCATTTACATATTGTCTACAGATGCTTTTGAACTAAAATGGCAGAGTTGAGTGGTTGTAACAGACACCATATGGCCTGCAAAGCCTAAAATACTTACTGTGTGGCCTTTTACAAAAAACGTCTGCCAGCCCTTGACCTAGACCGTAGTGTCATTTGGTTTTTCCCGGGGTTGTACATCCCAGTGGCCCTGCTTCATGCTTGAGAAACCCATGGTCTATCGAGGGAGAAAGTCAGGTGACGAAACGGATGGTCCCTCGTGCCCAAGTACGGGAAAGATCAAAAGGCTGATGGAATATGGGGAGGTTGATGTTGACAGGGAAAATCAGAAAAGGCTTTATTGCTTGGATGGTGTAGCATTTGACTCAGGGCTTGAGAAAAGCCAGGCCTCTGAGGGGTGCAAGAGGCCTGAAAAGCAAAGCCATGAAGATGGAAGAGAGTGGATGGGCTCGGGAATGATGGCCAGGACAGGCTGGGTCCCTGGGAAGTGCCTGGTGAGGTGTGGACAGATCGCCGAGGCCAGCACGTCGGAGGCCAGGCAGAGGGGTTTGAGTTTCAGAATGCTGCTAACAATAAGCTAATGATGGTTTCGAGGTGGAGTATTGATGTGGAAGTCCTTTTCTAATATTTGTGAATTTCTTTGTCTACAACAGCAAGAGTCTTAGCAAGAGCAGACACCTCCCCACCCCCCCGCCCACTTACAGAAATTTACCTCCCCTTGTCTTGCCATTCTCAACTCTGCACGGGTCTGGCTCTCTTCCAAGCTTTGCAACGACATCTCTGAATCCTTTGCTGGGTCTTCTGATTGTTTTTGTGTTCCTTGAACTTTTTCAATCTTCACTCTTAGTCTTCATGTCCTTAATGAACTCATCTGCCCCTATAGTTTT